AGTTATAAGCTGTTGAAGCCCAAATAAATCAGAAATTTCACATAAGCGTCGAGTATTTAAATCATATTGTGCAGAGGCCAGGTTACAGTTTAAATCACCTAGCAGATAATATTCTAGGCCGAGGGAATCTAATTTCTCAAGAAATGATTCGTAAGGTAAAAATAAATCAATTGAGGAGCAAGGAGGTCTGTACCAAGTGGCTATCAGAAATGGCCTGGAGTTTGGTTTCCGAATCTCTATACATAAATTTTCAAGACTGGGTGCATTCAAATCAGAGCGAACTCCAAAATTAATCGAGGTTTTTATATAAAAACCTACTCCTCCTCCTTGTCTGTTTCTATCACGACGAATAAATTCATAGCCTGGTATTTGGACCTCACAACTATTGATAGAGTCATCAAGTTTAGTTTCATTAATTGAGAGAATATCAATGGAGCGATCGGCAAGGAGAATTCTTAGTTCATCAATATGCTTTGTAAGACTATTAATGTTTAAACCTGCAATTTTAAAACCACGACCAGAAGGAAGAAAATCAGAGAGAATTGTACTTTCAAATGAATCAACGTTTTGATTAGGAATACCTGATGATACGTCACTCGGTTGAGAAGCTAGCGTGGGCGTCTCCTGTTGCGAGCTGGAGAGGGAAGGTTTCCCAGTTCCATCAGAAGCTTTACCAGTTGTTGGATAGCTGAGGACTGAAAACCCTTAAGAGACTGATTATACTTGCCAGAACCAGATCTTAAAAACTTAATAAATTGCACGGCCAGCAATGACGAACCTTTGGCATTCAGATGAAGTCTACTACCATTTAATGCTGAGGCGTCAATAACCGAATTATCAATATAAGTAAAGTTATTATCTACTGCTGTGAGCTTGACCCTCTCATTAACTTCAATGCGTTTAGCATCGACGTTGATATCTTCTCTGTAGACTATACCCGAGAGACCAATGCTTGAGTTAGGAAACTTGCTCTTCACCTTCAATACAAGGCTCTTGATATCGGCGACACATGAATCGGCAGACTCCGACGGAAGATTGTTGGTGCCAGTATGGATGATGACGTGAGAAGGATCCGCGGATGCAACAGCGATGTTGTCAACAGCTTCAGCTATTTCAGCAGTGGTTTTCCCGGGATATGAGAATTTATGTACATGTCTTTGCGAAAGCTTTTTTGGATCAATGTGTTTTATCATTGAGTCACCAATAAGCACTATGGGTCTTGTCTTTCCGACTTCACCGCTTTTGGAGTTATTTGCACTAACTCGAGAGGTATTTGCGTGCGCTCCAGACTGATGCAGTGGCATCTCAGAGGATACTTGACTCGAAGGAGAAGAGACAAGTAAGGCCTGATAGCGGTTATGACTAGTTGGAATTGAATCAAATGCCCGGCTCGCTTCAGATGAATCAACATGTGAATGTTGCTGTTGCTGTTGTTGGCGACTTTCTTCGTTATTTGCAGTATAGTTGTCCTCATTTCTCACTTGGAATTGTACCTCACTTCTAAGGGGCTCAAATCTGTTCTGAGTTACTATATTGCAGGCCGCCAACGGCCGTTGGATATGTTTATCATTCACACTTTTCCCAAGTGTGCCCACTTGGGACCAACAATCACATATCTTTTGTTGGCGGCATTCGCCCTCGCTTCTTTCTTGCATAATGATCTTCATTGCCAGCTTAAGAGAATCATTTTCTTGTTGCAAGGACAAAACTTGGCTCTCATAGGAAAAACACTTTTCCTCCAACACCTCAATTTCATTATCTTTTTTAGATAATGTCGATAACACCTTCTCATACCTCTCTTTGTAATCGAGGAGCTCGGCGCTAAAAGCGGTTTCTTGTAATTTGCATTTCGTCGACAGAAGGCTTGTATTTGCTTCAACCTTTTTCTGAAGAATTAGTAAATCCAGTTTACTACAAAGGCCTAAGGAGGAATTTATTAATTTTTTGGGGTAAAATAATACGAATGTCAAGATTTATTATAGAGTTATTTGGTAGTGAAACCTGCAAGTGAGGTTTTCGGTCTCCCAAAACCATAACGTGATTGACGAAAAACAGTTTCCTTTGCAGAGAATCGCTTTAACGCTTTCGCTCAGTCAAGACCAAAAAATGTGGAACTCGACACTATAATCAACGATTCCTTATATTGCCCTGAAGGCCTATGAATAAAAATTAGGGGAGGGGAAAATTTTTCAACTGTTGTATTTAAGGGTTGTTAAAAATGGAAATATGAAGTGCCGTGGATAATTAGTCAGTAGAGAAATACCACATAGTCCACGACCACAACAAGTTTCCTCTGAGCTCATTAGCCGACTAACTGGTTTGTGTGAGGAGGCAACGTGGCCGAGCTGGACTTGCAATTCGGATGCCTCGACTTCAAGTCCTGCTCTCACTGCTAGAAGGATTTGTTCTCGGTAGCCTCGAGTTCAAACCCTCGGCCATGCTTGTAAATACCCAACTGGTTCGCTTCCCACCAGTCAGTGGGATTTTTAACCCTGTTGTTTGATCAGGTTATTTGCTTCAGGCATTTGCTTGGTCCCACAAGCATTAGTGCTATAATAAATATTGCCGAGGGTAAAGAACGGAATTATTATTAATTATTAATATGTGTGTGTACCCTTAATTTCTAGGCAAATTTCTTTCCTTCTCAAATCGACATCATTTCCCCCCAAAACAACCAGAGTGCCCCCTCAACTTGTTTCAAAATGTGTAATGTATACTTTGTAAACCGTACAACTTTCACTCTTGAATGTTTAAATAACGTTTCATCTCTGCATGTAATATCCAAGAGGAATAAATTATCTGCATAAAATAGGAGTTCTCTCTAAAAAAATAATTATAATAAAAATGCTGCAATAACTGATCTGCCCTGCAGAAATGGTCACAAAATGGACTCATAGGGCAAACCGCTAGTCGTAAATTTGCTCAAAGGCACAAAACACCCTCAAGGCAAGAAGGTGAGTTGCCTTATTGCACAATTGTTTCCGGAAAACTGTTGCTAATGACGACGACGATGCCGATGTTGAACCGAAACCGATGATGACCATATAAGGGGCACATTTGTGCCCAGACCCTCTTTATTCGATCTCAGAGCGAGAGGAAGTTTGATACTTGTAATCGCGAGCATTCACTCGCATGGGCTGTCATTATTGGTAAAGATTTCCATCAACACGCACACAATAAAAGTCTCTTGTTAAGCACTTGCCGTCACGCGTCTTTTAACTGCTTTACAAGGTGAAGTCTGGCAAGACCTGCAGCCCCTCCAGACGCAAGCCAGGTGAAAGCTTGTTTGTTAGGATTGAAGCGAACCTAACAGGACAGCAAAATTTTGTGGTTAAACACAGTAGCAGATCCAGACCTTCAGATGACGGGGGGGGGGAGGAAGGGGGGGGGAATTTGGTTTTAAAATAAATGGGGCGGCCCACCCGGGCCCCTCCCCTGGACCCGCCACTGAAATAGACCTTCTCGGATTGTATGTTTTGTTTGCTAAATGCGGACCACGTGATATTTTCAAGGGAATTTACCTTTTTCTCTATTTATGTTATGTACATATGCACGTGTGGATAAAACGGCATTTTAAAGGAAGTGTTTTCTGTCCATAAACGGACACCTCGACAAGACGGACACCTACTTTTTTGTCCCTGCAGCTCTTCAGTTATTTCATTTGACTCCTTAGAAATCGGACAACCATTTTACACGGACATTTGACGAAGTGTAAGTGTGCCGCGTTTACACTTTCTTGATAAGGTTTCATAGACCCAGACATCAGAAAAAGCAAGTGATTTTACCAACTTATCACCACACAGGATATAATGATTTTGCTTATCCAGCAATATACCAATACATTAAAGAATATTTGTTGCTTTGTCTGTTTGCATTTAGTTCGAAAAACAAACAATACCAAATCAAAGTACATGACAAAAAGAAGAATAACGTGACACACAATTTCTGTTTAGGAAGATTGCGTTACAAGACTTTGAGTAATGTAATTGATATCGTCCTACTTACCTTAAGAGGCGCATTTAGTTCGAACAACAAACAAGGCCAAATCAAAGCACACGACAAAAAGAAGAATAACATGACACACAAGTTCTGTTTAGAAAGATTGCGTTACAAGACACTGAGTAATGTAATTGATATAGTCCTACGTACCTTGAGAATCGCTTGAGGATTGGTAAAGTTGTTGTAAGGGGCAGACTGCAGTAAGTTGACGTCTAAATGACGCTTCACTTCCGGATCGGATTTGTCGGCGATATCTGCAAACTCAATCTGTAAAAGGAAAAAGACTCCTTTCATCAGCCTCGTACCCAGTATTCCTCGGTTGTTAATCGCGCTCAGTTCCAAGCCTCCTCTGCTTACTCGGATAGCACGAACTGGATGGGGACGAAAATGGCCTTCTGTGTAAAAGTGGCTCTGGAAATCCAGTAACTGGTGTGCTACGTTCATGTTGGCAAAGCTCTAGTTACCATTTCGAGGTATGTAAAAATGTTTAAGTAGCGAGTTAAGGCAAATGCGACGACGACAGCGTTGCGACGACGACAGCGTTAAAGCCGTCACTAGAAAGGTGTTGTCGCTCTCTTTCAAATTTAATCGCTACAACTCCTGTCCGCTAGAGCACAATTTTTAATTAGAAAGAAGGAAGGTTTCTATCAAGCCTCACTTTCAATGAAGGCAAGGATAATCGGCACTCACCAAATCATCTACAAAACATACCAATATACCTTTGTACCAATCTTCAACAATCTTTAATATCCTCATGAGCTATTTTAAAATTCACGTGGATACAAAAACAACGACTGTTTACTTTCGTTTTCCACTAAATGACTTACAGTGTTAACATCGTAAAAGACAAGCTTGTACTGCTGGAACGTTTCTTCAGTGGTTCGTGGCAGAGACAAATCTTTCACTTCTTTACCAGTGGAAGTATCCAGGTAATTTTCTTTTGACCCCTCAGAGAGATTCGTGCCTTGCTTTTCACCGGCACTTTCACGGTCCTTATTAGTATCCCCTTTCTCTGTCCCTGCAATATATGCACCTTCGTTCTGAGAGCCCTGTTCCTGTCCTCTTTCTTTTCCGCCATCGTGATCAAGCTTTTCTAAGTATACTCTATAAATACCCTGCAGAAACAAACAAAGAAACAACTAGTAATAACTTAAAGGCAACAGTGTTTTGTCATGTGTGATCGTGACCGTCTTAATAAAAAAGGGCGAGTCCAGAGGGGGAGGATGAAAATATCAAAAAGCACTTCGGAGAGGTACTTAAAATTTCATAATTATCAAGAACAATTTGGAGGGGTACGTATAAAGGGCGATTTGGAGAGGCAAACATACGGTCCAACTATAACTGACACCTTGAGGGGTAAGGTCCAATATAAAGGGCATTCTAAAAGGGTACAGAGAAGGTCTAATTATAACAGTACTTTAGAAGGGTACTCAAGAAGAAAAGGCCACGCTCATATAAAAGGCACGTTGGAGAGGTAAAAATACGGTCTAAGTATCAAGGGCACCGTTTAAAGGTACAAATACAATACAATTAATAAAGCACTTTGGAGAGACACCATATTCTGTCGCTATATATAGAGCAGTTTGGAGCCAGTGTTTTGATCAGCACTACTATTGCTGGTTTGCACGAGACGTCACGGCTAGTCAAGGACAAAAGCATTTCTCTCCTCTGGGAACCAAAGTTCATTTTCGTGTGAATTCTGCGAGAAAAAAATTCAACTGTATTGACCCCCAACATGGCCGCCTTGTCACGTGGTTGTAAACCAAGAATAGCTTGTCCTAAGCGCTTTTACTATTCCCGTTATATCCCCCCTCGGATGTAAGCACCTCCGGTAATAAGCCGTCCAAAAACCCCTTCCTTGATAAATAAGCCGAGGGTTTGTAAGCGGAAGCTTATGGTAAGTATACAGGGTATTTACTTACAAATTTGGCACTTTGCTTCTTCCTGAGGTTCACTGTTTCGACTTCACCGGACGCATCTCCACAGGCAAGTAGCTTCGCCCAGTCGGATACATGTACAGACTGTGTGGAAAGGGAAGTACAAACTCTTCAGTTAGACGCAAAGCGAACAGGGAGACCAAAAGGTTCGATCAAGGTGTGGGTAGGGTAGGCAAGAATCGATCTTTTGCTCATGGGTGGGGTGGGGTGGGGAAAGTAGCCTGAGATCAGGCCCTATTTTGGATGTCAGGGTAGTGGGAAGTTGTGGTCGACAAAAGGGAGTTTAACCAATGACGTTTTTCAGTTAAACGACGTGGACTTTTCGCATTCTTTAGCCGTGATTTTGCTCCAGTTAGAGGCTCCAAGATTTTCCAACCAGAAACCTCCTTTCGCCCGAAACTTCGTTGACCTCATCTGCAAAGACTAACACGTGTTTTACCACCTCTGCTCTGGACAGTCAGATCGACAATCCAACACTCTATGATCCAGGCCATGTACAAAATGGTATTTCTGACAGTGCAGTGTGATGTGACAGTGAAGTTTTATTCTCAACAAATAAAAATCATTTTCACAAGAAAGGTTCAACACTTAGCCTCTTTTTGAAAGTGGGAGTTTTTGGAACTCGGGAATGGCTTGTTTCAGTGACATTTTCATACGTACCCAGATTGTGCTGTTGTGAATGGTAGATTTGGAGGTTTTGGCGAAGGATCTTTCGTTTGTAAAGTTGAAGGTTCTTACGATACAAGGAAGCCTTGTACTTTGATAACAATCATCCTCGCTGCTCATAACGGTCTCGGAGACAACAGACCAATACATTTCAGTTGTGTGTGCTGCAACAGATGAGCGTTAAAACGCTGTTAATGGCCCAAAATATATATTCAACAAAAACATCAACAATAACAACCAAACACAATAAAGGAAATTAATTAACTTTTTAGGGGTCGCCCATTTTTGGTAATCCATTTAGTCTTTTCCACACAATGAATGACAGAACCAACGAAAAAAGTGAAAAACACAGTAACCGCCGAGGATAATATTGGTTCCTTTCGCACATGGCGAAACGTTTTTTTTTAAAATTTGAACGAGATTATCTTTATTGAGTAGGCAAAGATAAGGCTAAAAGTAACACAAAAGCTTCAAAAATCCAGACAACCTCCTCAACACTTCTACAAGACGGAATTCTTCATCAAGCGGAAAACTAGTTCAGCGATTTGCTCATTGTATCTATAAGGCAGATGGCTCGCTAAAACGGAAAATCAGTCTCTTTTTGAAAGAGCTGACTCTATGTACAGAACAAGATGCTTTAAAGCATGAAGAAAAGAAACCACACGAAAATAAAAAAACTTCGAGAGAAATACTCACCTCGCCTGAAAGTCACAATGGGCATGTATGGATTCGTCAGATTCCATACCTTGTATTCTCGATCGTAACTACCTAGGAAAGAAACCCGACGACAGCAAAGTCTGTGCATATAATCTGAACTTATTAATGACCCCTTAAGGGACAAAAGAAATCACTTTTTCGAAATAGGTTACGATGAGAGCTTAGTCTTGAAACGTCTTTTAAATTTACTGGTTAACTAAAAAGCCACATTAAACACGTGTAAACCAGCTTTATGAGTGGAGGAAATTAGTTATTCCTACCTGTGGCAAAAATATTTGGATTTTCTGGACACCACGCCAAGCTTCTGACCACTGATGAATTTGTTATAATATGGAGAAAAGGCGCCAGACCTGCGTTGGACAACAATTGAACCAAACACAATCATTTAGCAAAAACAAAATATATAGATCTATTTGCTTCCTTTTCTGCTAAAGAAAACAAATGGGATATGAAAGTTAACACAAGTCCTTTCTACTTACTAAAACTGTTACTTACAGAACGTCTTCCCTCCATCATCCTTTTGTCTTTTTAACAAACGTGATTCTGTCATAAGATTCCAGATTGCCACAGTTCCTGAAAAGACAATGCCATATCACATGACAGCTAGCTTTGTACTTTAGTGGAGCTACATAATTATAGTCAACTTATGATAATGTCTTCATATTAGCCCTCTTAAAAGAACCGTTGTTGTTAACTAGTTCACATTAACTTACAACTCATTTGCCCACGGAAGTGTGGAAACTGACAGAGCAAAATAAAAATAAGTAGAAAATGTTGTCATCTCTGAACGGACAATATACAGCCAGGCTTACAAAGCTGATCCCAGAAGGTTGCTTTGGGCATTGGGAATTGCGAACATGGAAACTATTGTTTGATGGTCACTTAAGCAACTCACTGCAGTGAGTTCGGTATGCCTATGGTGAAATGGCATGTGGTTCTAACATTCTATGGATGAAATTCTGCCGTCTGACCCTTCAATTTATTGAACAGTATTTACCGCGGTAGTCCTACGAAATCTAAAAGTATAACCACTTAAATGAAAGCTACTCAAGAGCACTACCCTCCTGTGGTACTGTTTTACTTTAAAACAAACTGAAAAAGGATCTAAGTTTTGAGTCTGCAAACAAAATAATCCGGTGGGACCCTTTAAATGGAAGCTACTGAGCAACTTTCCCGCGAGTGGCATATAGAAGGGTAGGGGGTCTACGTAAGGTGGATAAGGTTGGATCGTGTGCATCCTCCTCCTCCTTCACATTGTCGACCTTATATCGATCCTACATCGATTCCTTATCGACCCTACATGAAGCCAACATCAGCCCTAGATTGACCCCACATGGACCCTACATCGCCCGCTCATTGACCCTTGTGATTTTTACCTATTCTAAAATTCACATTGCGATTTTCAATGAAAATTCAAAACAACCTAAAACGAACGAAATGTTTTGGAATTCTTGAGGGGATAGGGTGAAGCCAAAACTTCCGAGACATTGGGATGAAGATAGTTCAAAACCCTCAAGTTTGAAAAGGGCTGCTTTGTTAATCACAGAAATGATATTTACCATCAGAAAACCCCGTTGCAATTTTTTCATGCATGGAGTGAGGAATCCACTTGACACACCAGGCCTGGCCGCATTGTCCATTATAGGCCACGCCCAGTGCGCATGGCATTAACACAGCATGAGGGACGGCATGTACTATGACTGTGAATTGAAAAAAAAAGTACTTAAAAGCTGAGCTTGCTAATTTCATTGTCGTATTACCAATACCCTGTTAGTTTACCAGAACTTTTAAAAGTTTACCATAAAGCTTCTAAGTTCCTGAAAACAGAAGCTGGTGTTATTGTCGGTGCCATTTTCCAGCATGATTTTACTCAGGAGCGAAGCGTTTCCAACGAAAAAAGCTTACCATTTTGAGAATAATGCAAAGATAGTTACGATAACAAATTAATTCATACATCTTTGCCCATGTTTACACTTACTGTTGAATAGAATCCCAACTACTAAAAATAAAACGCCTTAGACGTTGCCCAAGGTAGATACACAATTTAACTGGAGACAGCACTAACCCAAAAAACAAAAGATTTAGACTTACCAGGTGGATAAGAAGTATGGTCATTTGACTGCTTCATACACAACGTCGAGAATAACTCAGTTGGCCAGGGTATACTGCAAAGGTTAAAGCAAACATTATAGCAATGGTAGATGCACATGCTTGAAGCATGAAGAGACAATTGTGGAGGTGGCGTATGATAACGTTTTAACAACACCAGCATTCAAGTCAATGACTTTCATGTATTTCACTGCACGCTTACAACAAACACCTCCGAAAGACAGATTAAGTATACGCTTACTATACTAATTTAGGACGAGGCAGCCTGGCCGAGCGTATAGAACGCTGGAGATGCAATGCAGAGACCCCCAAGTTCAATTCCCGCCCTGACCGATAGCTGGATTTGCTCTCAGTAGCCCCGAATTCAAATCCTTGACCATACTTGTAAATAACCAAGTAGTTTACCTCAGTCCAACGGGATTCTTAACCCCATTATGTTTGACTTTTAATTTTTTTCAGGCATTTTCTCAGCCCCACTAGTATAAACACTATTAATTCAGTCGAGGGTAAATAACGGAAAATTAGGATGTGTAATCAAATGGTGACGAGTGAAATTAGGGGATAATTTCACGCGCGTTTTGTCCAAATCCTAATAATTTCCCGAGCCATTTGGTTACCTATTAATATCATGGGTGACGAATTACATTAGCAATCTTGGATTTTTGACATGGTTATCCTGGATCGTATCGATCGAGAACTCCACACTCAAATGTTTAGACCTTAAATTTGGCTCATAAAGTTCAGAATTTTTCAGACTTTTTCGGCAAAGTACCTGTTAGAATCCTTCTTGATGTTCTCTTGTGTGTTCAGGTTTTCTAAAGCGTCTTTTTGTGCCCTGACATCTTCATTCACCGCATTTTAAAACTTCGTCGCCATCTTGACACTGAGACGTACGGAAGGGTTGCCATGGCAATTTTGTAATTTCACATGTGAAATTAAAAATTAAAGCTGAAATTTCGCGCCAAAATTAAGGAGTAATTCGTCACCTATGATATTAATAATTTTATTTAATTGATTCTCTATTTATTTTACCTGAAGATACGAATAAGGCCATCACTGCAGGCCACAGCCATCAAACCTAAACGGGAGAGGGCTCCATTCTGAAAAGCAAAGCAAAACACAACATTTGAATCGCTGCAAGTCCATTCCAGTTCATTATGCTATTTGACGACAAAAAATATCCGGGGAACTTGATGTTGGACACTAGGGAGTTCAAGCAAATTAACTGTTCAGTAATAACAAAACAGCAACAAACAAAGCGACTTGAATATTCCCGATATTTCGAACGGTCAAACTGTTCTTCTTCTTCAAGCAAAGCCGTTTTTGGTCGGCGCACGTCAACCGGAAGTGGACTTTTTGCATCCTTACAAACTTTCGGCCAAATCGTCACCACACAGCTGATTCTAATGTTTCACTGGAACATTTTCACGCAACGTATGTTACTGTTTAAGCATTGACTTACAATTATATACCGGTACCATACCTGCTTTTTAGTGGATAATTTAGGTTCCCATGTTCCCGAAGGACACCAACTGAGGTCCCATATGGCACCATAATTGTGAGCAATGCCAAGGGACAAAGTTGGTCCTGACCCAGAACTGTTGAAAGACATCAAAAGTGGTAAATAAAAGGATAATTAAACGGACAATACACAAGCCTCTTAACCGTCTGAACAAATGCAACCAATGCCAATGTGAGCAACCAAAATGAGGGAAAAAACAGAGAAAACCGGATTTCAATGACAGAGTTAAGTTGCAAGCATAAAGGAAAGCGAGGTCAGCGTTTGCTTGAGCATGAAATTTATTCGGGCGTACTTTTCAAAGACGTTCATTTTACTGTTTCGGACAGCCACTTATTTTTCCGTGATACAATTATCAAATGTCTAGAGGAGCTGAGGCAGTCTTATTTATAATTTCATCATTAAAATCTGGCATAATTTTCTGACCCGCTATTTAAGAGAGAAGACACAGTATATGTTATCAGAGGCACACTGCAAAATGGCAAAGCACAAAGCAGCTTGCTCAAAAATAAAGTTTTACCTTGCAGAATTGACCTTTAATTTCCCAACATCCCACAGCTGTATGAGTCCCTTCTTAGAAATGGTCTTATGTATAGAATGTACCTAGTGAGAGAGGATGTTAAAATGACGTGCTAAGGAAGCTAATGTTAAGCTACGAAAACACTAAAAGCTCTTGTCAATATTGAGGCTATGATCACATTAAAGCATCTATCTCAGCAGAAACGTATTGAAAGCTCTGCTTTGTCTACAGGCTTTCCTCCTCTTTTCCCCCCATCCCCGCTTTCTTCTACTTTCTTGAATTCTCTTTGTGATATTCCCCATTAGAAAGCCTGTTATGTGCAAAAAATTACCTGGTCCAGTGATCTGTGAGTGCTTATCGCCAGGAACTGACTTTCACTATTTCTGGAATCTAAAAAGAAGCAGTTCATAAAAAGCAACTTGAGCTAAAAATACAAATCCATAATTCTACAAGAGGAATCTTTATACAGTATGTGAAGGGCAGAGCTCTTTGTAATGGTCTGGAACAAGTTACCAGTCAAGGATCGATAACGCGAAGGAATCGTTCAACATGCAAATGCGATGACACACACGGGACCCCAGCTAGCGTCACCTTGATAAAGGTGTCCGCGAAATACAGGATCGTTTCACTTTGGTAGAAAACATGGGAAGACAAGGTTAGGGCTAACTGACGCTATCTCCGGTTAATATGGGGTACGCTTAATACAGGTTCCAATGCAATTCATCGTTGGAATTTCCCCCAAAAGAAGGTTCTCTCATTGGCTACTTCGCGATCACATGACATCCAACAATAAACTATTTCCCGCCAAAAGTCTTAACGGCCTTTAAAATTGTATGGAATCAAAGACTAACCGTGCGCCGCTGCGCGTGAATGTTGACCGCTTCTTTGTTTAAATATTGTTTAAATACCGTAAAATTCCGGAAATAAGCCCTCCCATGTATAAGCCCCCAAAACTCGTGAGGCAAAAACCCTCCGGTAAATCGCCCCTCCAAATATAAACCATCCCCCCCCCAGTAACTTATATCTGAAACTACAACCAATCTATAATGAAAAGAAAATATAATGTTAGAGACAATTCAGACAGCATTTGATAGGCCCGTTAATTTATGACACAGAAATTTATTCATATCTTACATGCTACATAAAAGAATAAACTAAAGACTAACCCTGCGCCGCGGGGGCGGAATGGTTAACCCTTTTTTTGTTAAAAATTGTTTAAATACCCTAAAATTCCGGAAAAAAGCCCTCCCATTGAAAAACCCCCCAAACTCCTGAGGCCAAAAACCCCCCCTTAAATCGCCCCTCCCAATTTAAACCCCCCCCCCCCGGAGCTTGTACTTGGAAATTGCCCTCAAATATAAAGTAAAACAAAGCAAAAACGGTAAATTTTCTTCCAACTATAAGGCTAGCCCAATCGATTTTGAAACGCAAATTTTTGTCCGCAGATAAGCCCCTCCAAAAATAAGCCCCTCAAAAAGGGCCTCTGAAAAATATAAGCCTCGGGGCTTATTTTCGGAATTTTACGGTACTGGATCAACTAAAGGTGAAGTCGATTATTTCACCCAGTCCATGACAGGAAGCTGTCGAGGAAAGAGAAAAAGGTTCGTAAACTGTTAAAATAAAATGTAATGCAACGTCTCCGAACGTACCAGGAATTGGGCACCAGTCCATGGCCCACACAGGTCCACCAACATTGAAAGTCACATCACCAAAGACTGAACCTATGGAAAACAAAACAACAAAATACACAGTCATGATATGAAAGTTAACAGACCATTCAGTGTTTTTTCCCCCTTTCAATAGACAGCGGCTTTAAAATTTTGTGCAGAGTGAAATTAAAATTTTTTCTTGACAATTTAAAACTGGTTTGAGCGTATCTAGCCTCCTCTGCAGCCGTTATTCGTGGTGCGTTGCGTGACGACATTAAAAGAATAGAAGACAAAGGAACATCCCATCAAGCGAGATTGAGAGCGTTTGAGCCGATTAACGCTAAGGGTGATCCCGCACCTATTTGAAAGATTGTTTGTAAATAGCCGGGAAAACAATAGGGATTGTCACGTAACAATGCCCCTATCCCTGAAAACAATGGAAGTGCAGATTAAAGGGGACCAGCGAAATAAGAGGTTTAGAACGGTACAGGTCTACTGAACGGCAGAACCTATAAATGGCCGACTGGAGAAGCGAAGCGACTCCTCCAGAGTATAGAACAAAGGTTCACTGTCACAGGCCATCTGTAAATACCTAATGTTGTATTACTAATGCTAAGTGTAATTTTAATTAGTCTGCCTAGCTGGCGGTTTGTTTCGGGAGAAAGAAAAAGCTGTGAAAGCGTGCGCGAAAAGCGAAGCGTGTAGCCAGCGTAGCAGGTGCAAAGGGGAGGGGGGAAAAGGGGGGTAGGGAAGTGGGAGGAAGGAAAAAAGGGAGGGGGATTGGGGAGAGAGAGTCAGGGTTACGTTTTTCCGTTCGTGTTTTTCTCCCCCCCCCCCCCCCCCCCCCCCCCCCCCCCCCCCCCCCCCCCCCCCCCCCCCCCCCCCTTCCCCCCCCTCCTCCTGCGCCCCCGGCGGCCCCCCCCCCTCTCGCCCCACCCTCCGCCTTCTCTCCTGCCACACGCACAACAACCCCGCCCGCCACCCGCACAAAAAAACATAACACAAAAAACCTAAGGTTCCCCCCCCCCCCCCCCCCCACCTCCCCCTCCTCCCTCCTCTCCCTCCCTCTCCCCTTTTTGCGCTTGTCATGCAGGCTACGAGGCGCGCGCCCTATTCTGCTCGCAACTTCGGTGCTCATTTGCGGGCTCGACAAATGAAACCGCCAGCCACGCAGGCTAAAATTCAAATTATAAGTAACTGTCAGTGCATTCTCTTACTATCACTCTTGGCTGTGCTTCCAAATAAGGGCAGCTGTACTAGTTCTTCTCCGCCTGTTTTCTGTTTTGGCCGTCGAACCACAAACTGTGGTGACTTGGACGCTTTAGGCACATACTGATCTATTTCACTTTTAAAACAACATCAAAATTAAAAGTTAGAAACCAAATAAAGCTGTGTCATGATTTCTTAGATATTACTTTATCATCATCATCATCATCATCATCATCATCATCATCATCATCATCATCATCATCATGAAGAATGAAGAATCGGTGTTGATGTCTTGCAGAGTTAATTTTCAGCATTACAGTATTCTGCTTACAGAATTTAACATGTCCACAAAATCATCATCATTATCTCGATTAGGCTGGTAAAAGGCGGTTAGGCAACACACCAACCACTAACAAAATATGAAAGTACAAATTACATGCAACAATAAATAGAATAATAATAATAAAAAACAAATTAAAAAATTAACTAAGGTAGTTCTGAAATTCTTCAAGGGACGAAAACTCCTAAACCCAACGGCATCAGACAAAGCCAAAAATATAAGTCAAGGTGTTACATACTACTACTTGTGAATACTAGTACTGCGATGCTACTACGATAGTATTGCAATAGTGACGTTAAATTAATTAAATTTTTGGTGGAGGCGGCAGGGGGCGGGGAGAAGGAGGGAAGCAGGAGATATGAAAATACAGCAGATAAATAAAAAGAATAACGGATAGTATTTAAAAAAAAATCGTTTTAAATGCGGCAGACTCTGGAGACAAAAGAAGTTAGTACCTAACGAAAGTAATATTGATCCTTGAAATCAAAACCATGAAAAGACGGACAGCGGAACAAGATCATTACTATCGATAATTAGCGAAAACATCGAAATGGTTGAATCTGTGGTCATTGGCTATCGCAACACCCACAATAGTGATGCCACGATTGTACAATGTATCATAGAATAACTAATACAGTGCGCGCGCTCTGATTGGCTGAGAGGCGCGGTTGCCTGAGAATTTGTTTTGCTGTGCGCTCGCAAATCATCTATCCTCGGCGGGTGTTTTCCGCATAACGAGAACACCAACACCAATTTAAATTAAGTTTAAGGGGGCCCGAAGACACTTTTTCAGAGACGTTTTTACCATTTTCGTCTCCAGTTACAAGCGTGTAATCTTTTTTGCCGCCGCCATGCTGGAAATGAGAAGACCCTGGGATCAAGGTTGCTAAAACTAACTCGACTCACCTGGAATCAACCGCTGACCAATAAGATAAGGAGGGTCTCAAGTTAGGGAACAGCTCGTTGTGTTTGAATGCTTCCTTGCGCCTGCAGTGTGTGTGAAAAGAAACAACACTTCAAACCACTGACATAGTGAAAAACCGACCTCCAGCAAAATGGCATAAACATTGTTCACCCTTAGTGCCACGAGTACGCTACTCGCTAGGAAAAAATGTGAACACACCCAATTTTTCAGGTGCCCGCGTCTAAATTCAAATGGCCTGCGTACCGAGCGTTTCCAATCGAGTTATCGCGCGAAAATTGGGGCGTGAGCAAAAGAAATGGAAGTTAAAAGGAGGAGGGGGTGGGGAAAAGAAGAATAAAAGCTTTTTTTCTCTCCCTCCCCTCCCCCTTTATTCCTCTTTTTTGCTCTCGTCCTAACTTTCTCGACGAACTCGCGCGGAAACGCTTGTTACGCAGGCAAGAATTCAGACACGAATACAGGTCGAGGCATTGTACCCTAGCACTAAACTGGGTATTGGGTCCCCGTGAGCACACGTTTTCCGTTAGTTTCGCGACAACTCACTGCCTTGCATATCGATAACTCCTAAGCTACGTCCCAAAGTAATGCCTGACTGGGCGAGATGAAGATAACTTGACACAGTTAGGGCCTGTTTACATGAAGGTGGGGGACCCCAGATAGGTGAGGTAACATGCGGCGGTTCACCCCACCTATCATGTAACCGTGATCAAATTTAAATGAGGGATTATCTGAATAGGCGGGTTAACCCACCAAAGCGGGTTACCTCACCTACCTGGGGTCCCCCACCTCCATGTAAACAGGTCCTCAGTTATGGTGTGAACACAACGCCATTTTAGAGCCGGTGCGCAGGTACTGGTTTTGCGTGTGAACATAACCTTAGAAATGGTAATCTCAAGAAGATAACTACACTGTAACGTACCATTTTTCCGTCGCCTTATAAGCCGTGCTGTTTCTATTTCCAACAGAGTTAACATAGAGTTTGGCGTTTTTTTTACTTTCCCTCCTCTGCTGTAGTTTAAATCTGCTGTTCCTCTTTGTGGTGTCATCCCAAACAACAATCTCTTCGGCTTCATCAGAGTCTTCCAGTATCTCGCTACCGCTGTCTTCTATCTCCTCAATTTCAACGCAGTCTTCATCTTCGTCGTCCTCGTCTGAACTGATTACTACATAATCAGCATCGCTGGAGTCAGATTTGTCCTTTCCTGCAGGCTAAAGTTTCAATTTAGAGTTAAGCCTTCTTTACGTTCGAGAACATCAAAAATGACATTATTTGCAATATTGGCGAAATCGAACTCTTATTTTAAGATCTCTGTGTGTGTACCTTTAAATCAAATCTAATAGCAATGATGGGCAGCCATTTTCATTATTTCAAACTCTTCATGCACAAAATGTGTTTCTTTTCTGGCCGACAATTTTTTGTCTGCCCACCATTATTTTATAATCAAAATTTTCTTGCTCTTCTTACTTCAATAGTCAAACTTTTAGCCACTTGGTGAATAACTAAACAAGTAGGCTTCAGGGGTAGATCTTTGTTTCACCCTGTTTAAATTGGTAATGACATGTAGGAGACAGAGTTAGATCCATCAGATAGTAAAGTGCTACCCTTCGTTGCGGGATACCAGTGAACTGTACCTGGGAAATCTGTGAAACGTAAGTCCTGGAATTTCCCGCAATTTCTATTTCACGATATGAATAGTTTTATGTTGTCACTTAACGTTCTTCGCATACTCTGAGTAGTGTAGTACATACAGCGAACATAGACATCAATTCATGTCTCAAGTGGTTGTTTACAGGAGGAAAAAATAATGGAAAATTCTAAAACTTTCATCTAAAAATGGCCTCGGTCGCTTGAGACAAGAATTCGTTTAAGAGAGGTTCCAGCTGTTGTGATTTGACGGGAAAAAATTTGGTGTTTTGGATGGGTGGTCGCTCATGCTTAGGAGAGACGATCGCACATGGAGGTTCAATAGTCGACCCTCCCTTAAGCGACCGCCCAAAATACAAAGGGTTAGCGGTTGTCGAACTCACAGAAGGTCTTTTACGAGGGGAAGTCCGGACATATCTACATTTTGAAGAGAATGTATTGCATGTATTTTCAAGGTTACAATATGGGTAAATGTGGCTTACAATATCGACAGAGAGGTTTCAACTAGAAGGATTTCACCGAGAAAATTTGGGTGTTTTTGAGCGACGCGCGTCAAACAGAAGTGAGCTTCTTTTCTCTTCTAATATGCCTTGACGCCACCAAATTTGTATGGCTAAGCGTCCTTACTCTTACAGAGACGATTTGTCCAAAGGTTTGTTCAAAATCCCAACTCGAGTGTGCAAAAAGTTCACTTCGGATTGACGTGCGTCGCTCAAAAAGGTTGTTGCTTAAATTCCCTATTCTTCAAAACTTCCCTAGAATATAAAAAAGCAGTTACCGAGTATCCCACGTGCCAGTGTTTCACGTGATTCTGTGCCACCATCCAACCCGTAAACACTTTGCCGCACGCCAGGCACTTATGAGACACAGCCTTCTCGCAGGTTTTTAGATGATCTTTGACGCTGACGATAGACGGAAACTTCTCCAAACAGCCCTGGGAAAAATAAATTAAAAAAGGACAAAATTTGCGGCAAGAAACATTGACTGTCTCTAGTCATTTTTAACGTTACAGCTTGGCATGTAAGTCTTTACAAATACAGCTTAGGTCGGCAATAGATCAGTAGTGTAAATAACAAATCAATCGCCTCATGAACGATACTCAAGGGTGATGTTACACGGGACGATTCGACCCACCTTTAGGCCAAAACGGCGTTAACAATGTTGTGACCAGTCGAATCAATGTGGCATCAATGTTGCAACACTGTGTTGTGCTATCGATCGTCGTAACGAATCGTCCCGCCCATCTTCGTCAAAGGAGACAACGGCGATTTTTAGCGAAACACAGAGCTTTAGAACAATGTTGTAAGAATTCATATCAATGTCGCATCAATGTTTCAACACTGTGCTGCGCTAACAATCGTGGTTGCGAATCGTCCCGTGTAACATCACCTTTCATCTTTGCCAAAAGAGAGGATTCTTCTACAACAAAGTTAATCAAATAGTTTTTGTAAATATTAGGTAAGACAAGCGCATAAGAGCCAAGAGGTCCACATCATGGCCTGAACAAATCATGAAAGATAGGGGAGCCTAGTGGAGAATCTATATGTTTCTCCAGTGGAATCTAGTCGTGTGTATAGGACAACCCTCGTTGAAACGTGATAACTTCGACAGAAACGTTGATAGTGGATGTTTACTATTTTTAAAAAAGGTTTTCGGAAAATCCGCTCAGGTTAGGAAGTTAATGGAACTCGACTGTTTGGGTTATTTCAGCGAAAGATTTCCGGGAGCAACGGGACATCTGAAAAGGTAGTCCTGTTTTTCCGTAGGGAATGTTCCCAACGGAAATTCGTGTTCCTTTTCTTCAAAGCCATCTTTGATACCAGTTCCAGGCCTTCGCGGCTATTTTTCCTAATAAGTAAAAATGGTAAACGCGATTCCGGGACGAATCCTCAATAGAGAGGAGAAGTGCGACGTTATGTTACCATGGTAGCAAGATTTCTGGATCTCAACAACCTGTCGTGACAGTGGTGGGCAATTGCATTGTCAAATGATGGATGAAAAGCATGAGCTATCGTTTTGTTCCTTAAGTGCAATCATTCTCAGGAAAGTCGTAGATGTCAATTTTTTTAGTTTTTTTTTTCTACCATCTTTGCAGGACCAAGGTTCATTGCGATCCAAAAATTCGTTACCACGGCAACGCGACGTAACGTCTCTTCCTTTCTATTTTGCTTACCCTTACACATATAAAAGGTAAACAACCCATATTTGGTAGAATACAGCGTTAACACATACATGACAGGACTATCAACAACAATCAAAAATCGATACACGCAGGTTGCAAAGAAAATCATTTTTACAGCTTGCCATTCAGGCAAGTTGAAGCTAACATTTATTAGCCCAGACGTCATTTCAACTAGCCCAAAAGCTTTTTGAAGAGCAGAATTGATCTCAAAGTTCTTCTGTTTTTCGAATTCCTCAAAAAAGATCGCTTGCCCGTCGGGCAAGTTGCAAACAGAATTCACTAGCCAAATTGCAAAATCCACTAGCCCCGGGCTGTCGGACACCACTTTCTTTGCACGCTGTACACGTCACTCCCAGAGGGGCCTGAGATAGTTACCTTACAAGGGCAATTGATATTTTTCCCAGCCTCCACCGTCTCCGACCACCGCTCTTCCAATTTCTGGGAGACTTGTCTGCCTGGAATTGCGGTGATCAGTTGGTCAATGTCAGATTTCTTTATGGGTTTATCACTCTCTTCTGCTTCATCCGTTTTGGACACCATATCATGATCTGTTGCTAATTGGTGAACTTTGGATAAGGCCCTGAAAAAGAAAAATCAACGGTGTTTGCTCTATCCTATCATTGTGGGAAGAATGAGGTCGCTGCGAATCTCTCAGACGAAACAATACATGAATGACCTAACAATGTCCTCGTCGCTAAAAATAAAAGCAAGTGTGATTTTAACGGGCCAATGAAAATATAGCCTGCGTCGCAAACGAAATCAAACCACGCCCGTCTGCGAAGCAGCACCAAGTATTCACCAAACGAACTGCTTTATTATTGAGGCGATCACAGTCACCTGGATACAACTGAAGTGAAACTGCGTATGGTTTGGTTTTCATATCATAGTCCCAAACAATAAAGAACGCAAGGCAATCTGAAAAATTATGGAAACCAACCTTTACCAAGCAGGATTGTGCATATTCTGCCATAGCATGCTTTTCTGTAAAGAGTTTGGAAGAAATACCTACGGAAAGCATTTTTCTTTTACCCCTCCATCCCTTTCCCGGGTGCCGGTGACAACCTTACCCCACCCTGCTGCATAACTTTGCCTCACAGTGAGGGATTCTTCCCATCACATCGTTTACCAGAGGCAGATTTGACAAAAAACTTGGAAGTGATTAATTTTTTTTAGTTGTTACCAACCTTGATGCCGCCTTTCTTCTGACTCGCCCAGTCTCTGTAACTTCAGGCTCTGCAGCTTCCTGAGAAACAAAGGCATTCAAGCCATAAATCGTTACACCTATCACGTCTTGTCGGGAGTAAATGAAGGGCTGGATTTTTATATTTTACAATTTAGAAAGTAGGGTAAGAAACTGCTAAGCTCATGATTAACACAAAACAACAGACAATGCATAAACTTGAAAATAATTTATTTTCTCTAGGGACAAAACAGTTTGAGACCAAAACGGATAATGGTATAGTTTTGATCAAAATTAGTGTCACACAGATGTAACACGTACCTCATTTTCCTTGGTTTGATCATTGCTATCAGTTTCACTCTAAGAATAAAAGAAAAAATAAAGCAATTGTTGTTATCTCCTTAACCTCAGGTTTTATTTTTATCCAGGGTTCAATACGTAGTAGTGCGCGCGCGTGAACCAGCGTCGTTTTGACGGGAAAACGCGATACCCTTTGTCATTCTACAAAAAATTTTAGCCAAAAGTGTAGTACTGACCGAAACAAATAATCAAATGTGAGAAGTTTTATCATTTGCGATCAAATAATAACCGTGTTAACTATCTGGTGAAAAAAGTAAAATGAGGCTTGACGGGGTGTCTATTTTTTGAGAATACGCGAAAAAAACTTTCTGTTAATTCTCGTCCTTCCAGTCGTCCTCGTCTTCAAATCTAAAGGCCTCTTAAGACCCTTCGCCCAGTGACAACCAAAAGTTATTCAAAAAGTGCTTAATTAACAAATGATGAAGCCTCGAGACTGTGCTAAGTTCTATTGTGAAGCACGCAGGAAGTGGCTAAAGCACAAAAGACGTGGAGGCAAAAACAAGAGATGTAGTCCCAACTTCTTGAGCGCTCTAACCGCTTTCCAAGTGCTTTAAACCAGAAGAGAGCTTAGTCAAGGCTTCTTTATTTGTTTTATGATCAAGAATCCGTTAAATTTCCCAGGCATTACTTTCTAATTTTCAAAACAAACTTTTGGCAGATGGCGTGATCGTTTTAAGTCCGTGTTTCATACGCTCATAAAGCACGCTTTTTCAACCGATCATAGCCTGTCAGATGGTGGGAATCACGCGTAAGTGAAAGGCGCACGAAAATATGAGCGCGTGATCTAGGAAAAGGGGGCGGTGGCGGGAAAACCTTCCTCTCCCCAGTCTCCTCTCGTTTTATTTTCGTGTTCACGCTTCCTCAATTTCGCGGACCCGACAAACCCGGAGCCTGGAACAGGCTAAACCAATCAGAATTCGCGTTATATCGGAACTTTATCATGATATGAAGTAGCTGCGTGAATGAAGGTTTTCAAGTACCTCAACATGTTTGGTCTTCATATGATATGTAAGTCCTGGCACACTGTTGTATTCCTTTCCACATATCTCACAGGAAAACTTTTCTCTCTCCTCCTCTTTTATGCCACACGTTTTTCTGTGCGTCACATATCCAAGAGCTGAAGCGAACTTAGCCCCACATCCTTCATTTGTACAAATTAATTTCTTTCCATATTTTGTCTGTTCCTTCAGTAGGGTGACCTAATGAAGAAACATGGCAAAAATACTTTCATTCATTGATTTAGTACCACAGTCTAGTTTAAACGTTCATGTGCGACTGCCTCTAGTAAGAGACCGGTAACCTGTCAAGTCGCCCGAATGTCATCTCGCCCAAAACCCAAGTTAAGTCGCCCAAAATGCTGAGTCATGTCGCCTGAATTTTATCGGGTGAAGTGCACAGAGAAACAAAGTCAATTTTTGTCAAATAAAGAGTTTCTGTAATATATCTCGTTCTTTAAACCATCGTGAGACGAAACGAGCAGAATGAATGTGTTACATACCTCGTTCTTAAAGTAATGATGAGACGAAACTACCGGAGGGTGTAAATGTGTGCATGTAATATATCTCGCTATTTACCCCTTGATAACAACGAAACAAGGGCGATAAATGAGTTATATATCTCGTTCTTTAACCTTCGATAAAACGAAACAAGCGCGACAAATGTGTAATAAGGATGTTATGATGTTTTTAAGCATGATAAAACTTTGAGCCACATAACTCAGCTTTTCGGGTGACTTAACTAAAAATTTCGGCCGACTTGACCGTAAACTCCCTCCTAAATACCCCAAACCCTTAAACTGCTGCTGTCAAATCCTTACAGCTAGAACCTCTGGTAAACTAGTACCGCAATGGACCTGTAACCGACCGCCACCACTGATTTGAACTGATCAGTTGATAATTTTCCAGTGTTTTTAACCTCTTATAAATGATCACTTGACACTTGGTCTGAACTCCATGTTCGTTGTATGTGCTACTCGGAGCATACGAAAAGTCTTTAGTGACAACGTGGAACTGCACATTCAGTAACTTAGACATTGCGTGTAATAAAGTATCTTCATAAAGAAAACACGGGTAGACCTCGAGAACGGATAAGACAAAATTCCTGTGGTTCGATTCTTGTAACTAAACATCTCCTTCGCAAGTGACCTTAAGGTCTTCGTATTTTGTTTAGACTGTACATGTATGAAATTTTTAAAATCTAGTTAAATTTTACTAGAAGGTATTCGTATAATGGAAGGAACATCCCAGGGGATGATTACCTACCTCTGAAACCTCTCCCTGCAATACAACAAAATACGTTTTAGTATAAGAAGCAACAAGATTGACATGTACCTCATAAAACAGTAGTGCTGTTAAGCATATATTCGAGAATATGCAAACATGTACAATCGCGAACACCAGGGGTACTTCAGGGGAGGTGGGGGGGAGGGGGGTATTTTGGGGGTGTTAATGCTATGGCAACCATTTCGTTATCCTGAATACAAAACATGTTCATACTAAATACGGGACACAACATAGTTTTCATACCTTACGACGCTTTGGTTTTCTTCCCAATTTCTTGGTTGAAGTGTTTTCTTTGGTACCTGAGGTATGAGAGAGCAAAATCTTTAGTGTCGTTAGTGGAAAATGGTAGAAGCAAGTAAAATACATGTACCTAGTGTAACAGGAACGACCTGGTGACGTAGGATTACCAGGGAGTAAGTCAACTACAACTTGGTATTCGGTCAAAGTTCACTGAGAAACAAATGAAGTCGGGAAACAGCACCCGATGAGATTGAGGTCGATTTAAGGCTGTCTTTGCTGAAGACCTTACTGGCCACAGGGCTGGTAAGCCTTTACAACCACTTGACTAGCCTGAGAAAGCCGACATTTCAGGCGACACTACTATTGGTTTCCCCGCCAAATGACGTCTGAGAAACGAGCGCAGAAATTCCATACTGATGACGCGTCACTACCCAGATCTGGGTAGTGCTTCTGATTGGTTGAATCAAATTTCTCACGGGGCACGACCAAGCAGAAGCACTACCCTGATCTGGGTAGTGACGCGTCATCAGTAAGGAATTTCTGCGGGCGTTTCTCAGACGTCATTTCGTGGGGAAACCATTGGTGGTGTCGTGAGATGTCAGCTGTTTTCTCAGGCTACCATTTGACACGCAGTAAGGGAAAGCGGCACATTGCAAATGGATGGAGCAAAGCGGGAACATCCGAACTTGCTAAGGGGAAGACCACCTTATCGCCTGAAGATCCATTTGAAACTATAAAGAGGAGATCCTTATCACAAAGCTAATTGGCAGCGCCATCGAGTTAAATAGTTCCTCCATTGCTTATATCAGTGTACTTTTAAAAGATGTTATGTTTCTGACATTGTTGAACATTACAGCAAGTTGCTTGTTGCGTTTCTATCCCATTATTATGTTTAAATAAATTATGCAGAGTTGGAAGTTTAAAAAACGAGCACCATTTTACTTGATTCGCAAAATTTAATTACCTTGAAACACGGTGATTCGATAAAGTCGCGAAATTTAAGAGCCGCGAAATATTTCTATTCCAAATTCGCAAAATCGAAAATAAGTGATAGTAAGGGAAGAAAAATGTTGTACTCTACCTGTATTACTCCATAACTTACTATTTTCTTTTCCATTTTGCTCCTTTGCATCGGTTCTTGTAACTCCAGGAGTGCAAGATCCATCAACACCACCATCATCATGATCATCATCATCACCATGATGATCATCTTCAACGTAATCGTCACCATTTTTGTTCTCACCAACACCACTAGAAGATTCCTCATTTTCTTGTTGCTCATCTTCAACCTTGATAACAACCTGATCACTGCAACCAACACTGCGCTTTTCTTCTACTTTTTCCTTCCCATTATTATTGCTAACACTCTCATCATTACACTCTCTAACAGAATCAACATCCTCGCTTGTAATATTCGTTCTTTTGGGCTTTCTCCCCCGTTTCTTGGGTGTCTTATATTCCAGTTTTTTCGCTACATCGGTTTCATCGTCCTCATCACTATTCACTTCCGTCATACTTTTTCTTTTCCTCCCTCTTTTCCTTGAGGAACTCTGCAAATTGTCATCTTTTGACTTGTCCACATCAATGTAGAAAATCTTTCGTGGTGTCCGAACTCTTGAGGAAGTTCTCCTTGCTGGTGTTATGTCGCTTGGGGGTATTTTATCGTTAGCGTTCACCCGAGATGATGACGAAATCTCACTTAATTGGTCAGGACATGGACTAGCCAAGGACGACACTTCATTGACAGTACTTTCAAAATCTGCTTTTCTGGGTCGACCTCTCTTTCTTTTTGACGATCCTACAAATCTAGCATGATTCTCACTACACAATGAATTTGCTTCGGGTACACTAGTTCTCGATTCTAACACAGAATCACTTGAGTCTTTACTTTTTCCTAAAGAGGCTTGATTAGTTGAGCTGCCTGAGCAGCTCACATTTCCGTTATTTTGAGAACCTGAGGCCGACATGTCACCCAAGAAGTCACATTGCGAGTTTACTTCTGAAGAATTCTCAAGGTTAATGCTCTCTGTTCTTACTTGTGTTGTCTTGTGGTTTGAAGAGTTAGAAAAAGGTGCAAAGGTATAAGCTTCTTTCTCTTTGAAGCTGCAGAAAAAAACAAAAAAGAATATTGTAAAAGATAATTCAAACACCTATCCTTCTCCCCTGTTTACCGATCCTCGATCAAACGCCACCGACAAGGCTGTCACTAACTGTAACATTTCAATGCAACAAGTAGGTGGGTAATCAAACAGCTAGCGATGTCTTTTGACTCTGTTTTCCTCTGTTTTCCTATCAAAGTAGCTGGGGCCACAATCTCTTAGTGACAGTCCTGATGTAGGTCATACAACTGTATGGTTTACATGTACATCATGACTTTGCACAGCACCATATACTGATCCTAGATCAAACGCCACAGATGGAAAGAAAATTACCAATAATCACCACCTTGAAGAAAATGCCGCACCTAATCAGAAGAATGTGGCGTTTACTCAAGGATTTAATAAGAACAACTTTGGTACAACTTGGTAATTTTATACACCATCCAGACATTTAAGATTCCATCTCAGCAAAATAAGGGAGACAGTGGAACCTTTAAATTATATAATATTTACAAACAATTTACAATGACTGTCCTCAGTCATTTAAAGAAAGTGGTTTCAAAATAAACGCCGCCCTCGAATAAATGTCGCCCTAGAATAAACACTGCATTTGAAATGCTAAACATTTAATAAAAGCTACAGCGTTTAATCGGATAAATACGGTAACTCCCTAACCCACTCCTCAGCTTATTCCATATCCTATTTTGCTCTCTTTTCCTTCATCATCTGACCATCTCACTCCAAAATCTCTTCCTCTACCACAGATCCTAAGTACTGTATGTCTCAGGGCTGTCATTAGGAATCTCCCCCCCTCCCCCCATTTACTACAAGCATGACCCCGGCTTCTTTCACTGAACAAAGGAAAATAGAACCAAAATAACTTCTTGGCTGTTCACTTCACATCCTATTTATTGCATTTTCCCAGCAACTTGAACTGGTTGTGAAAGCCATGACTATTGGTTCCTAAATCCTCCATCCAACCCCCTTGCCCCTACCACTAGAGCTATCTCACAACCCACATGTCACAACTTATAAAATCCATGTCACAACTGCAAAAGCAGGAGGCTGCCAGATGCTGATATACATGTAGCAAAGTCATGATGTATACAGTAGCATGACCTCAATCAGGCCATGGTCAAGAAGCTGGGGCCACGAATTTTCCCCAGCTACTATAAAGAAAGCGGCCCCGGGCTACTTTCATAGGAAAATAGAACAAAAATAGAACAAAAAAAACCTAACTGTTTGATTCCCTGCCTACTTGTTGTATTTACCCAGCAACTTGAAATCTTAGGGACAGCCCTGTCGAACAAACCTCCATTTGATATATTTTTTTCATCACAGTTTCAGCAAAATATTTAAGTTGTATTGTGGTTACCTTGGACTTGACAATGGACTGACCAATGGACTTCCACTTTCACCATCTGAATGTTCAGCAGCTCTGTGGTTTCGAAGATGAACTCGTGATTGAAACAACAAGCTGCACTGCTCACATTTAAACCTTCTTTCACCAGAGATCAGGTGGTTCGCTTGTTTTAAGTGATACTTGAGTCCTCCCAGAGAGCTGAAGTCCTGATTGCAGTTTTGAGCAGGGCATATAACCATTCCATTTTTGGAAAGTTCCTCTTTCAGGCTTGCAAAATCTACTTTGGGTGTTAAATCCCCAGAGTCTTCCATAGAGGAAATTGTGAGTGTAAATACGGGTGTCAGTGAAAAAGAAAAATGACACTAGGACAAAGAAATTATCCAGAAAAACTGAGTGCCACCAAGGATCGTAAATCTTGTACTTAAAACGGACTGATATGTTGACAACAGAGGCAGCCTTTATGGCAATTGTGTCATGATTAAATTCTTCATGATCATTGCAACTGCTAAGGTAAAAGAAAAATAAGTTGAATTAACAATGGCTTATGCATTATCACGTTGAATACAGAAATAACATTAACTAAAACATTGAACCCCTATCTACAGTAAGTGTGAACTCAAGGGAAATTTTGCCTTGGGAGGGGGACGTAGCTAGGAAAGTGTCTAATGAGGATATGGTTGTATTCCCTTGCTACCAGCCAGTATCTAATAGTTGACATAGTTGTTGCTGGGAACAAGAAAGCCATACAATAAAACTGTTTATAAACCACGATTGAAACCAGAAATAACGAGGTTATATTGGCAATTCAGATGACAGGACTCATTTCCATATATCGGAGAAGTAAGATTATCAGAGATTATATACCGTACTGTATCACAATTTTGTAAAACAAATTCACAAATAAACTTTGAAATTAAGCAAAGAATAAGAATATTAGAATAAAAAGAAAACTGGAACCGGGTGAAAAAGCATGCACGGACCACAGTACGTATCGAACCAGCAACCTCACAACGTGCCTCGAGTTTGGCGTTAGAAAATCTACGCAATGTTTAACTATGACAAGCTTGTAAACGACATTTTCCCTAACGAGACATTAATTTAACGAAGAATTATGTAATTAAGCTTGTAAATAACGAGAAGATAGCGTAAGTATTGCAAAACTAACCTTCAAATTCCACAATGTATCAAGTTAACGATGTAACAGGCAACCATGTTGGATTTCTGGAAGGCGGAGAGGAGAGACTGGTACGAAATTGTATTTTTACTTCCTGTCGACCCCTGTCTTTTCTTTCACATCCGGTAAGTTAATCAAGTATTCAAGATGAGGCTCGTTGGTTACCGGTCTTTTGTTACTAGGCAAATCGAACATGGCGCCCAAAGCAAAGAAGAGTCCGGGATGAGAATGGAGTTGTAATTGCCTTCTAGAACACATAATCAAGGCTGAGTCCTTGTAATAATTAACGTAACGAGGACATGGAAGGCATTTACGAAGTGTCATCTTCGGAGAAGGTTAGATCGTTGGAAGAAGATCTGAAAAAAGAATTAAAGGAATTGCAGAATGAAGTTGAGGAGGGAAATTTCTTGAGCTCTTCTTCGGCACCGAAGGCATTCGGGTGAGCGATCTGCCATTTTCAGTAATTTTTAGTTAAGGCTTATATTCTCCTTTCTTTTATAAGTCTTTTTGAAGCTGTCGATCGATCTCAGCTTGCAGTTCTGCACTTTGTTAGATGAACTGACTTTGTTGTCACTGGAAATAATAGACTAAGTTGAAGTTGATAACGATTAATAATTAAGAAGCCGATCTTTTCGAAGATACCGACAACATTGACAGTGTCTGAAAGTTATTCCAAGGTCGCGACGTCTTGCGATTTTCGAACTGGCCATGTACGTGAAACGAAAGCTGACGTTCTTTCAAAAGGCCTTATCACGTACGGTTTTCGACGCCATAACCGTGTGAGAAATTACAGTGTTTGTATGAGAATCTTATGTCGAATAATTTCCGTAAAACGGCTGTTCTGAAAAATATATGAATTGTAAACTAAAACTGCACAGCAAAGGATTTTACTAACAAGTTTTAGGAGCCGTCACTGTGCTTAAATTTCTCCAGACCCTTGCTTTAGATTTTCTCATATTTGTCTGCAATTTTTCCCGGGAAATTTCAGTTAGCAGGAAGAGAAATTTTTACAGGCAAATAGAAAGAAAATTTTAAAAAGTGATCCAGGCGCTTGTAGCTGCATGTAACACCCTCAAATTTTTACAGTAGAATCATTAGGAGTGAGGCTTTTTTTAAAACTGTTTTTTTGTTGATTGCATTCTGTCATTTTTGTGTGTGTCAAGAGAATGCACCACTAGCAATATTCCAGATGTTAACTTCTTTTGCATGCCAAAATATGTTAATCATATGGCTGAGTCCACGAGCGGGGAAGATCAAGTGAATCCTGTGTTCTGATTGGCTACGTGTACTATATACCTGAGCGGGTAAGGGGGGCCGATCTTGCTTGGAATTTCTCGCCTTGGTCCTGCAAGCAAAACTATAAATCCTTTATTAACGAAGCTTGTTTGGTCAAGATGACCTCAAACGTTTTTTTGTTTTTATTGACCTTGATTTTGTCTAGATTTTTGAGGTTGGATAGCCAGATTTGAGCAAATTTTGTCACATGACCAATTGCTCATAAAACCTTTTTACACAGTAAAATCTAAAAATGATCTTCACAGTCATTCATTCTGTACTTGTAAAGACCTGGTGACAAAGCTGGAATTATTTCCAGGTCAAAACAGCTTTGAAACCATGCATTTGGCAGGGGATCTACAGCTTGGTTAATATGCTGAAAGGTACCACTTTCCTCAGAAGGTGATGCTTCCTGACAATAAAAAAATATGTTTAAAGACCCTGTGGGTAGATAAACCCCCCTCCCTCCTTAAAAACATGAGACTCCAATAAGCATATTCTTAAGAAATCACAGCAAAAGTATGAAAATGTTAGATGTATAGCCTCCATAAAAATTGCATTTATAAATTATGAACCAGCCGGCTTATTAATAGTAATAATTAAACACTTAATGACCTGTCCCCAAGGGAGATAGTTAAGTTTGTTTCCCAAGAATTCCAGTGTTTCCCAAGGCGGAGCTGAGGGAAACATTGACATTCAAGGGAAATATACCTGGAAATTTTGAAGCTGGAAATTCATTAAACCTTGCTGTAGTGGCAGTTGTCAATCAACATTGACAAGTAACAGTTCACTGTATACCCTCTGATGTTATTACTTTTGTGATATTGCCAGCTTAAGAGATTTTGGAGGGAAACAGTTTTATTGTTAGATGTCACGTGACCTCAAAGTAATCAGTAAGAGTATGCTGTTGGTAAAAATTTCCAGCTATGTAACAATTATTTTAATTTTTCCTCCTTCTACCCTAGATCTGTACCATTACCAAAAGATGTAGAGCATTTTAAGAGAGAGAGAAAGCTTGCTATCAATAAGAGTCTCCAGGTTTGTGTGGAATGTAAACAGTAGACTTTTTAGATAAGCTTGTATTGTGTTTAGGTTTGCCAGCCATTTTTAAGGATGGTTCCTTACTAGGATTTTTTTTTTGCTCATTAATGGTGCTTACAGTCTGAAGTGTAGCCTGTGCCTCAGACAAAACTAAACTCTGGTTAAGTCTGTCTGCAAAACAGGGCCGAAATTCTTATTTTATGCCCCCACCTGTGTGTTCCAGGATTTGAGTAATCGCCATGATTGGCCTGTTAAGAAAGCCATTGTTGATTTGCCAATCAGGCCCGGGTTGCTTGAAGCATGGTTAGTGCTAACCAGCATTAAATACCATGGAAACCTATACATTTTGATACCTCTTAACCAACAGTTAGCGCTAACCAGGTTTCGAGCAACGGGCCCCAGGAGGAAAACAAATTTCTGGTAATTTGTTTTGTCTGTTGGGTGCCCAGAACTTAAACATTGGCACTGCTTTGCAGATGTTACTAACTGTGGTTAGAATACATATGTACGTCCGTGATGCAGACTAGCCGAAGTGTTGTAGTAGTGGGAATAGTGGTTTTGTCGTGTTAAAAGCTTTATGTGCCGTTGGATTGTCTTGGAATTTTAGCCAAAAGACAAGTTCTTGCTGTTTTTAGTTTTTGTCAGAGCTGGAGTAATAAGAGGTCTTGTCCCCACCTTATTTGTGGTGAATATTTTTTAGGCTGTGCCCCCCTCTTTTCTGAAAAAGGACTGTCTGCAGAGCTGTAGCTAGCGGGGGGAGGGGGGGCAAGGTGAGCAGCTGCCCTCCTTGGACCTGTTGAGCTAGACACATCAAGTCTGTGGATGGATTTGTTTTCTTTAGACTCAGTTATTTTAATAAAAGTGACTTGCAATTGTTTGCCATTTTCTGTATGCAAGATCGATTTTTCAGAGACGTATCTCATGACAAGTGCTGAAAATAGTGTTTCAGAGCCTCCAAATTTGAAAATGTTCCTTCGGCAATCGCGATGATGCACACACCCCCCCCCCCCCCCCACACTCAAACAACATAAACGATATACTACCCCCTGCTTTGTTGGGGGTGGTGCTCTACACAAACAATACATTTGAATTCATTTCAGCTTTTTATTTTGTGCTTTATTATTTTTTTTTTTTTTTTTCCTTTATCATAGATAGCTGTATAGTGTACCTCCCATCCCCCCCCCCCCCCCCCCCCCATTACAAAAAACCTACAGTGTAGCTACAGCCCTGGTCTGTGGGTGGGCAGGTTCCCCACCTACTTAAACATCTGAATATCTTCCGCTGTATTTCTCTGGTGTCAATGATTTTTGTTACATTTCTCCCTGGTACAGGAGAAAGGGTTACCTCTGTCCAACCTTATCTCAATTTCTTTGTTCAAGGTTATGCTTGCTTAATCATATATTTTAATGATATAACCTCAGGTGCGTGAAGCTCAGCCCTTGATCATACAGGCAGACGTGATGCGTGAGGAGATGACCAGCTGCTGTGAAGTGGAGTACACTGGAAAAAGCATTCCTTTACTTCTTCACCAGGTAAGATGTTTTTGTTGGTCCCTGTCAGTCCATAAGGGTTGCTACATTGACAATCTATATAACACTCCATGGAAGAAAGAAAGTACTGACGAGTGTCCTAGATTCCCTGTTACTCCATTCCTGGCTACAATCATGGACAAAAATTGGCATCAAAAATCTAATACTGTACATCAGAGGCACTTCTGAAACTATTGCATGTATACTACAAGCATACAACATACGTATTGCACACAAACTAAGAACCACTTTGTGACAGCTACTTACTTATGTTAAGGACAAAGACAAACTGGAGGACAGACAGGGAGCAGTGTACAAGATCAAGAAAACTACTGTCAGTCTAGATTTTCTGTTAACATGTCAAATCCCAAGCAAAGGTTCTTAATATTTTCTGCATCTGCTCTGTGAACCCCTCCTTCCTCTTCGCTAGATAAACAATTTGATTACTTTAAATTTACTTTAATTTGAAAACAATTAACCTGTAGTCAAGCCTAACCTACCTGTATCGTGACATTGCCAACTGTTTGAATGGAGGCTAATTTTACATCAAAAGCTGTCGACACCACTGAACAGAGAGCATTCTGAAAATATAGAGTAAAATTGCTAAGTTTGAGATGGACTTGTTGAAAAAGAACACACGCTACATACATGTAGCGCTACAAACTCTTCAAATTTTACATGTACAGACAGTTGTGTTAGCCGTATTACATGTACTTTCGAACTTGGCAAGTTTACTAATTTTAAGGCGCTATTTTCAGCGGTGTTGACGGTTTTTCGCAAAATAATCCTCATGGAAACTTAAAAATAAACCTCAGCATGGTCTATTCCAATCTTATGTTAAATAATTTTTGTTCTGTAGTTTTTTGTGGACAGGATAGAGCACTTGGTTCAATGTAAACACATGCACATGCTTCGCTGGGCACGGTTCTGTGAGCACACAAAAGCCATTGAAAACCTCTATCCTGTTTATCAGAAAAGACTCAGGTAGGGAACCAACCTCTTCAAATAAACTTTGTGTAAACTACCATACTTGTACGGCACAGGATACCATCCTCTTCTTAAGTTTCACAGGAGTAAGTTTAAGCAGCCAAGCTGGCAACGGCAACGCGAATATTAAAAAAGCGAGAGGTTTTGATTAGCAAAACAGCAACTTTGCACGTGCTGCACGCTTTTTTGTGCATTTCTATGCAGAGTTGCACGGCTGC